TTAGGAATTATGATAAAAAGAAAGATTAAATTATAATAAGAATGAGATATTTAAGATTAGCATATGGGAGGATTTTTAGAAAAATCAGGTTCTGAGAAATTTTTGACTAAAATTAAAAGTTTAATCTAATAATATCAAAAACTAAAATATAATAAAAATCTTAATTTTGCTAAAAAATTCTCAGAACCTGATTTTCTTAGCAATTAATTCATATGGAAAATTATATTTTTATTAACAACTATTATTGAGATTTAGATTTATAAGTAAAGAAAATTTAAAAGAAAATTTTACAATTTATAGAGAATATTTTTTTAGAAGTATACTAAAATAAATATATCTTATATAAAAAAAAATATCAAAAAAAAATCTAATAATTTTAATAACCAATTTTTTACTAACTTATATGTTCTTGTAAAATTTAATAAATTTAATAAATTTATAATTTAAAGAAATAATTTATAACTAATAAATGAAAATGAAAATTATACCACTAATAATAATATTAAATGCAATATTAATCTTATAAGATGATTAATATTAATGCATTGAAAGAATAATAGAAACTTTAGATCTATTAGATAGAAAATATTATCTATTCTTTTTTATAATAGAATTTGTTAAAATTGAAAAACTATATATTACTTATTATTTATTTCAAAAATTTCAAAAAAAGATCTTTAACTTCTACTTATATCAACTGATATTACTGCATAGAATATTAAAAATTATATAAAACATTTAGTTTTAAAGATTCATACTACAAAAAATAGTTTTTAAAAATTAGCATTAATGATAAATCATCCAAAGAGAATTTTAAGAAAATAAAGATTTTTATAATAAATAAAATATTAATGATTTCATTTAAATTTATTTAGTTATCTTTAAAATATATTTTTTAAATTTCATAATAACTCATAACTATTTGAAGAAATAAGTATTATTAATCTTAGAAGATTTTTTTAATTATTACTAGTAAATGGAGTTTTTATATTTTATTTGTCTATATAACAATTATTTTATTCACTTTTTTTAAAAAAATAAGCAAATAATCTTCAATATTATTTATTATTAGAAAATATTAGATTTGAAAACATTTCAGAATCAATATAGCAATTATTAAATAAAAAATATTAAGAAAGCTCAAATAATAGATCATTAAAAGATGCATTAAATATAATTTATATTGTAGATTATAAGAAAATAGTAGAATAAATTAACACTCAAATTTGTAATAACTTATCAATTGAAAAAGAAAAATATTTACAGTAATTTTATATTTAAAAAACATTATTAATAGAAAAGTACAAAAATATAGAAGTTTAGAATATTTAATGAAATATAAAACAAATTTACTATCTTTTGTAAAATTACAAATAAGATATCAGATAATGTTTCTTAATAATAAGCATATTAATAAATAAATTTATAACGATATTATTAATATTATATAGATATTGATAAAAAATAAAAAATAGTAAAAGTAATATTTTGTATAAATAAAAGAATTGTGATATTGAAATAGAATCAAAAATTATACATTTTAATATTAATAGAATTTTAACATGTAGAATTCAATTTCTATAATAAAATACTTTTATCTTAATAGTTTATAAAATATAAACAATTATACTACTATAGATATCCCTTTATTTAAAGAATTAAATATTTGCATAAGGTTAATTATATATAACTTTAAATAGATATAAATCTTAAAATGATATAAAATTCTAGCTTTTACGCTAAATGTATTTTTAGTTGATGAAATAATCAAAAAAAAAAATACATTAGACTAAAAAAAAATCTGAAATTATTATTTGTTTAAATTTAAATATTAATAATATTATTTTTATTAATACAATAAAATAGGTAAGTGACATTATCACCTACAGTGAAAAATAATTTCTAGTTTAATAAAAACTTTATTTATTTTTATTTTTAAAAAATTATTTTTTATTATTTAATTTAAAAATATTTAGTTTTAAAAAAATTTTATTAATAACAAATAATTAAAGAAAAATTAAAGAAATTTATAATAAATTGGTTAATAAAAAATTAATTGAAAAAGAAGAGTTTCTGATTATTTGCTTTAAAATATTGAAAAAATTGGTCAAAATTAAGTCTTATGAATTCTATTAAAAGTTTGCTTCTATTTCTAAATTTAGTAATCATCTATCTTTCTTTTTTAGAACTACTTTTGTTCTTGCCAATATATAATAATTTAGAATAATCATAAGGATTGACAAATTCTTTAAACTGATAAATGATTAGGTTTATTACCAAATCTATAAAATTTGTAAAATCTTAAAAAAAACTTCTGAAAAATTTAAAGAATCCTTTATAAAATAAAAAAAGAAAATATCAATTATTTACTATTATTGAAATAATTTTTTAAATAAAATTTTTGATAAATTACCAATTAGAAATTTTAATTCCTTTCTTATATGAAACTAATTCTGCAAATTTCTTATTAATTAATTAATTACTAAAAAAAAAAAAGAAATATACATAAACTAAGTTTTAACAATAAATAATTTACTAAATCAACTTTGATTTTACTATTATTTAATTATAATTTATCTATATTTCAATAAAATTTTTAATAAATAAAACAACTACATTTATGATTGATCAAGTAGATATCAGTTTACCTTGCAAAATGCATTTGCTTTTGCAAAATATAGAACATAAGGTTTAATTTTACCTGAAATATCGTGTCTTGAATATCATATTTTCTCTGCTGATTAAGCATATATTGCATATTGCTTCATTACATCCTCTGCTTATATACAAATGAGTCAACGCTTAAATAATATGACTGATGAGAATAAAATTTACTATTCCTTTATCATTGTAAATACACTTTTTTATAAACTCTCTAAAATTAAATTTATTCTGACCTTCTTTTTTTAAAATATTTTTGTTTTTTGCATAAATAAATTTTAAGTTAAAAAAATATATATGATGTAAATGACTTGAATCATTTATAAAATTCCTAACGTTATGTGGCTTAGTTCATAAAAACCATAATGTATTTTTCCTAAGAATTCTTTTTAATTAAACGTTAGGAATCGATCAACCATTTCAATTCGAAACTTTACAACTTCACGCGGGTCAAAAACCAGATTCTGCAACAAATGCAAGAGCTGTACCAATTTATGCTACTTAAGTCGAATGAAAAAATCAGGATTAAAACAACACTATATATGTCATCCTACAAATGTTAAATAAATAATCAGAGAAAATAAAACTTGCACGAATTTGTATAATAAAACGTTTTTTCTTTGAAATTATAGTAATAACTATACGCATTGCATTCGCATTAATTGCAGAATGTTACAGTAATTACAAGACGATAATTTTGCTCAAGAAATTGTCATTATTATTTTTAGGTTACAGATCTATTTGACAAAATTGCCTTCCAGCTAATTTGTTCCCTGATCATATGTCCTCCTGCCAATATGGTCCGTAATCAAATTGTCTCCTAGGAAAATTTCGCCTGCATAACGTCTTTCAGGCATATTACCCTCTGGCAAATTTGTCTTTACAAAAAAATTTAAAATTCAGTATAAACAAGGGTATTTCTTGGTTAATGTTTTATTTTATTTTTATTTTATATATTTTCTTTATCAATTTTTTAATTCTCGATAAATTAATACCATATAGACTTTCACTGACAACTATTTCCCTTCCCTGAAAGAAGTTTATCCGATTACATTGCTCTCTCCATAGAATTTATTCATTCTAACCGACAAATTTTGTTAGGTTGTTAGGGTTTGCAAATTATTCCTTAACTTGGCATCTGCTCATATTCAGTTGTAAACTTTTTAAATTTTTCTAATTATGAGCCTCTGTTTGTTTGTTTGAAAAGTGTTGATTTGTCCCGCTGAGGAGTTTTGCTGTTTTTACACGATTTTGGTTTCTAAAATTAAGAAATAAAATTTATCTGAATTCCGTTAAGTTACTATCAACAACACGATGCTCTACACATAATTCAAATCAAATAGGTGGGATAATTTATACAAATATTAGCAGCATTTATTTCTCCTTATCAGCTATATATATATATTTTTTTTTTAAAAAAAGAAAAATAATATTTACAATAAATTGAGATCTTTATTTAGGCCAAGCAAATTAGCAATTTCGGTTCACGTAGCATCAAGATTTTAAAAATGACCTGAGGAACCCAGGTTTATGTTTATTAATAAAAATATTTCATATGTAAATCGACACGATTGGTGATATTATGAAGACTGTAATGATGGAAGTAAAAAGAGAAGAAACAAAAAAAAAAGAAATATAAAAATCAAGTAAACCAAGAAATGACTTTGATTATAATACCTACCATTAATATCCTAATAATAAAATTATATTTCAAAGTCATGATAAAATTTTACATATAAACTTTTTTGGCTAAAATTTAAAAGGTGACCCCAGGCCGTGTGACGTGTCCTAAAATTCTAATGTGCGTGGCCTTATTTGATTTCATTTAATGAGGCTCATAGTAACAAGTAAATAAAAATACATTTTCTGTGATTGTCAAATCTTGCACAAAGCATCTTTCCATTCCAGCAGCATCACCCGATACAATAAATTAAATTACGTAATGTCTAGCCAAATCAAATAATGTTTTTAAAAACAAATATATTGATTTCTGACTTATTCTTTCCTAATATTATAATAATACAAATTTTGTCAATCTGAAATTGGACAATCGATTTTAACGTTCGATATTCGATCATGATTTTAGAAATGGAACAAGCAAGTTCTTCCAAAATTTAATAATTAAATAATTGTCATTAATTATGTAAGTAATGTGACGAGACATATTCATTTTATACTTTTATTGTACATTTTTTTTTCTTGTGAAAAGACATTTGAATTACTGGCATTACGAATCTCTTTAAAATAATGTTACATTATTTATTAATTTTACATTACATAATTGTATTATTTTTTCATTGTTTTGGTAATTAATGAAAAGAATTTCATTCCATATTTAAATGAAACGAACGTACAATGCGTTGAATCCGGATTTGACGAAATTTTTTAGAATTTAAAATCTGGAAATTACAATCAAAAAAAAAAAATTCTAGTTTACAAAAATTCAATAAAATTTATTTATCTTCATGGAATAAAACAATTGACTATAAACCGAAAAATTATCTACAACAACCTCAACCTAACGTCACTTTCAATCGAAATATGAAAAATGCAGCAAATGTAATCGTAAGAAAACGTTTAAGTAATATGGGAAATAGCAAAGGCGATATTTAAACAAAGTGGAAATAAGTTATTAATGAATTTATAATGATCACGCTAATCAATGACAACAAAACAACAGGAACATTCAAGGACATCGAATTTATTTCTGAGCGTGTTTCAGTAAGGTTTATAAAGCAACTTGGATTGACGGCCCAATAAGATAGTAAAGGTTACAATAATACTCTCAAGAAACTTAACAATTTGAAAATATCAAATGAGGTATAGTTTTTTATGCTAATATCTGATTATAAAATAATGCAAATTAGATAACTTTATATATTTTCTTAGGTTGGAATATAAAAATATGAAACCTAGTTAAGCATATTCTAATCAATATAATTATGTTAGCAAATATTTGGACTCATTCAAGACCTCATTACAAAAGATTTTACGAAATATTATGAATCAGGAGATCTAACTCAATATCTAGCGTATCATTTCTTCGAACTTAAATGGTCAGATAAGCTGAAACTGTTGCATTACATTATAGATGGGCTTGTCAACATATTTCATCAAGATTTTCATCGTGGAAATATATTTATTTCAGGTGAGATTGCAACAATAGGAGATTTAGGGATAAACCAGCGGTTGAATCTTCAGATGATGATGACGAAATTTATGAGATTATTCCCTTTGTTTCTCGTGAAATTTCTCAAGGCCATAAATATATCTTCAGATATATATATAGTTTTAGCTTGATTATGTTCATGGCCTTTTTGAAATCGAGATCGCGACGTACATCTTTTTATTGATTTTTGTGATGGTCTTCATTCTCTGATCGTCACAAATGCACCAGAAGGTTACATGGATTTGATACAAGAATGTTGGCATCCTGTTACAGAGAATAGCAAACCGCCGATTGAGATAAAATGGAGAATTGAGAATATTAGCGATTCGATTCAGAAAGGAGTAGACCAACTATAATTATAGATTCACCAAATATTGGACCTATAGCGGCAGATAATCTGAGCGCTATTTATGAGTAGCATTTGAAATATAAGATCTAATAGAAGATTGAAAAGTCAGAGTAACCTCTAAAATGTAAATAGTTTATTCTATATCAAATTTGTATAACATAGACCCGTTTACTTACCCGACCGACAACCATTTCGCGGACATTTATTTCACCGACAGTGTCATTTCGTCGACAATCAACTTATTGACGATCTCAACGACAAGATCATTTTACCGACAACCGTTTCGACGACAGCTAAAAAAAAAAAAAATAGGATCGGAATTATTAGTTTTATTTTAATTAATTTATTTTTAAAAATTTATGTATAATTTAATCTTTATTTCATAGGTAAAGATAGCATCTAAAATGAAAGATTATGGGCGATAATAATTACTAATGTATCGCGTTTTTCACAACACTAGTAATATAAATTTTGTCGTTAACCATAAGATAGCTATTAATCTAGATTTTAAATTTATCGCGAAGTTATTTCACAAGTAATATAATTCATTTGGAAATTTACAAGAAAAAGTTGAATAAACAAATTTTAAATTCATTTTTTGTTATAATATTAAATTTATATCATTATGTATAAATTAATTGTATATAAAATAAATTAAATATTGTTTTATGGTATAATATAATATATTTGTCGGTGAAATGATCCTGTCGGTCGCTAATTAAATGTAAGGTAAAATGACCCTGTCGGTGAAATAAATGTTGGTGAAATAAATAAGTGTCAACAAAAACAAAATGATTGGACCCAGACCCATTTTTAAAGGTAGAACCATGATAGCCGAATCAATACAATCATTTTCGCGTCGCAAAAGTATTTGACCATAATATTATTTCCTTCCATTATTATTAATAAAATTTCTTTAATTTATTCAAAAATAAACATAATTCGATGAGGATATGGTAAGAATATATATTATTTACTAATTTAATATATATTTAAACAAAACGCAGAAGCTCTTAAGGTTATTAGACAAAAGAGCTCAAAAAAGACGAATCTGACGAGAACAACGAATTTATAATCAATAGGTCATGTGAAAAAGTCAAGAACTTTTAAATAATAATTTTCTTATAAATCCTTTACATGAATTTGAATCATGAGATAATGGAATAAATATTTTTTAAAAAATGAAAAAATTGATTTAGTCAATATTTCGCATATCGCTTTAAAGAATTCATGACTAAATTTATAATTGTACAGTCACGGCACAGTGTACACTTCTTAATATAAATTATGTTCATTTATCTCGGCAAAATAATTTCTTGATCGGAAATAATCTTGAATTAATAGAATTCCTGCATTATGTTTCGCCCAATTCCAAAGATCTCTTCGATTTGTGATAATGTACTAAGTTGCGATGTGAGATAAGGTTTTAAATCGCGATTTTGGACAAAGTTAGGTTTAGGACCTACGATAATTCCATATCAGAAATATGGATTTGGGATATCCGAAATCAGTGGATATCTCAACAATAAATTAAAATTAATTATTAAATGAGGATTTATGTCTAGTACATTATTGGAAAAAATTGCTCTAAAGAAAGCAACTGTTCTAAAAACATGACGATTAAAGCGTATTCTCTGATATGGAAGGTTTGCTATTAAAATCGAGTTATGAACATAGTAAATCATATGATCCGTAACGTGATTTTAATAGCTTATATCCATATAGTTAACAAATATTTTGGAATCATTCAAGAAAAGATTAATGAGCAGAATCTAACATAAGAAAATTTCAAACTTTAATGAAACTATTTGCATTACATTAATTACATTACATTATATTTTCACCACAGTAGGGTTGCGGGACATTACCATAGTCCCATTTTGAAACCTTTTGGTTTCGACGGGTTTCGATGGTTTCGATTTCGAAACCTCCGAGTTTTGCCCGGAAACCTTACACCAATCCACAGGCGATTCAGGATTGCTGTTGGAAATACTCCCTATGTTACCTCAGAGTTTCAAGATCAAGGATATAATAAATTTCAGATATTTTAGAGAATTGATGAGGCATTAAGTCTTTTTTGAATCATACCATGAACTATTTTTAAGAAAATTTATCGTTAAGCTGTTTGATAACGATAAAGGTAAAGGTAAAATAACCATTTCTATTTATTTTGGAATAAAGTCTATAATTAACGTTATTTAAATTTTCTAATTTTTTAAATTTATTTCAAATTATTGGTCCTTGATTTTGTTTTTAAATCAAAACGTTATTTAATAGAATATGCGATGATTTATTCATCTTTGAAAATTATAACTTCCTGAAAACAGTTATTGCCGTTTGATAATAACATTTTCAAATTTCAAAAGTCAACAGTTCAACTTTTAAAGAAAGAACAAACGATCAATTAATAATGATGATTATAATAACTGGGTTATAACAAACCTCTTTATAAAGTACAAACACTGGATATAACGAACTCAAAATTTTTAAATTTTAATAATAGTTCGTTATATAAGTGTGATGTTCATTATGAAAACATAGTAATTTATATAACGAACTTTTTTTTTTTGGAACCGTCAAGTTCGTTATAAAGAGTATTGACTGTATTTTCTAGGTGAAATCCATCAAATTTAAACATATCGGCAGATCGGAAGGATCCCTTAATTTTACTAATATTTTTGTTCTACCGTTCTACCCATCATCTATACACATCAGTTGAGCTTAAATATTAATTGTCCCAATTTTTCCAATAAGCCGATATGAAGAAATTAGATTCCGTTGATTTACGATTTCCTTACTAATTTTTTCTTTTAGTGTGAAAAAAAAAAGGACAAAAAAATAAATTCTAATCCTCTAACGACGATCGCATCGAATCCTGTAAAAAGATGAAATTATAAGGCACACAATGTTGCTTCATCGATTCAACGAGATGGATTTTGAATTTCTGTCAATTGAATTTAAGTCAGAACAGTTTGGGGACCATTCTTTTGTAAGATTGCTTTGGCAAGTTCGGCTTGTGTGCTTTGACCAACCTTCTCCAAGAATTCAATGATTTCTGGAATGGCATTAATAAAATTCAGAAGAAAAACTTTGTTTTGGCTTGGGATGTTAGAAAGTCCCATGAGACCAGGTCCTAAACAGTCACATGAAGACCGTCCAGTTCAAAGTCGCGGTCCTATATTAATTAGAACTTGCGGGACTGACGGCTAAAACTTTTAAAAAATCCTAGAAGAAGAAGAATGATATAATCGTCTAATTGAACGATACTACATCGCATCGTTCTTATTGAACGAATTTCATCGTTTTAGTTGAACGATCTCCATCGTACAAAAAAAAAGATCTTTCATCGTTCTATTTGAACGGTACATCATCGATCAAGAAGAACGATATATAAATTTTCAAGTTGAACGATAGACACATCAGCGTTCAATTAAAACGATTTAGTTGAACGATTCGTCATCGTACTTCTTGAACGATTATGGTTTATATAGACCGATTTTTGCATGTTATTAAGACCGCCAGTCCTAGAACTGCTAGTTCCAATTTTCTTTATAGAACCACAGTCTTAAGACCGTAAATCCCAATTTCTATAGGACCTGGTCTTATAATCCAGTCCTAGAATTCAAGTCCTATGGTACTTAGTCTTCTTTTGGATTAGGAGTTTTGGGACCGGACAGGGTTTTAAAATCCCTAGCTTTGCCTTTAATATAAATTTCTCCATGTCAAAATTTTTGATTGTTCTCATTGGTTTAGGACAGAAAGGCCGTTTTTCTTAAAATCATCATTATATTGTTCTTCAAAATAGTAGGAAAGCCTGAAATAATATTTGGCTCAAATCATCATTAAAGATGTATCTGTGCCCATTTAATTTATTTTTGTTTATGGGCATTGGGTTTGTTCTTGGAAGAGCTTTTTTCGGACAAGAATTGTCGGTTATATTATTTGGACGGACAGGGCGTTACCCTTTTGATTAACTGTTCCATATTTTTCTTTTATTTTTCATAATAATGAATGGAGAATTTCAAGCGGCATTTTGAGGCGCAGAAGGCCCAGAAATTTTATAACTATGCGAAATTATAAATGGGTCATTTGATA